AGGACAGGTGGCCATTTTGAAGCTCCGTCGTTCAGCAGTTCAGATTGAATTCCCAGTTCCTGAGCTGAGCGTGTGCGGGGCCGTCTCACACTCACCATCCGCCGTGTCTTCATTACGTGTGTTTGATTGGTCCGTGTTGGTGTGCACACACGTGTACCCGTGTGGGTGTGTGTGTGCGTGAGCGCCTCTCTGTTTGGGCGACTGTTTGCTTATGCATGTGCAGCCTCACAGCGTTTGTGTGTTTGTGACTGCGGGTGCATTTTATGATGTGTACTTTTTTCTCTTCTTTGTCCAGGAGTCCCCGTCAGGACCCCTAGGCTTCCCTGTGCCTGCCTGCCAAAAACGTCTGCATCTCCTGGACCCCCTCGAGGCAGGGGACAGCCAAATGTCACTTGGACCCGCTACAGAGTGGTGAGAGGAGGACGGGAAGAGGCCAATGGGAGAGAGGGACAGGGAGGAAGGAGGCGAGGGGGAGGAGATGGGGAGCTGAATGAGAGGGAGACGAAAGTTAAAGAGGAGATACGAGGAGATGCCAAGTGAGCAAACCGTCAGAGAGCTGGATGGAGGGAGCCAGATCGTTGTTTCCCACCATGTAGCCGCATCACATCCGGCCGACTCAGCGACCGTCTGCAGAGCTTCATCTTCTTCTAATCAGTGTTCAACTTTTGGCCCAAACGTACGACACGTTTAACGAACCCAGAACCAATCTAGCAGCCGACAGCGAGCTCCTGTGTGCAGCCAGAGCGGAGCGACGGCGTCCTGACGGGACCGAAGCGACGCTCCTGCTGAGCGGGCTCTTATCCCAGCTCCTCTGTTCTACGGCTTGGCAGCAGCTCATGCTAGTGAGCCGGTCCGTCCCTTAAAACGGTCCTCTGCACATTCACGAGCCGACCACAGGAACTTCCCACAGTGTGCTGTCACTACAGCAAACCCGGCAAAGAGTCCAAATCACCCCAACTGTAGTATGTTCTGGTCCATTCAGCTCAGCTCCACGTCCTCCTGGTTAGAACCAGACCCAGAGAGACTGGAGCGGATCA